TCCAGATACCTTTTGAAGTTTTAATTAAAGTACAATCATTAAAAGTCAGAACATAAATGACATAGCTGACAATAAAATGTCTCCTCACTCTAAGCCACAGTCCCAATAAAATGTCTCCTCACTCTAAGCCACAGTCCCTAAGCACCCTTAACTCAGAGACAACCATCATGAGACACTTTCTCAGATCTTTCTAGGCATGTTCATAACATACATGATAAACTTATCCTCCCATTTTAATACATACAGGGTTTCTATTTTTGCTTTTCCAAATATCTCTTAGAGAACAAGATACCTACACTGATACAGCTACCATATTTTCTTTTTTATTTAGTATCATCCTTTAAAATACCTGTTTTATTTTTCTGGAGACAAGATCTTATTGTGAACCCTCAATCCTCCTGCCTCAGCCTCTGGACTTCTGGGATGGCAGGTGTGCACTACCACACTTGGCTCTGCTTAGCAGTTTTGTCATGGACATACCACCAATTATTTAACCAGCTCCCTCTGGTGGGATGTAAGTGACTCCCAATCTTCCTATTACAAAGTTGTAATAATCCTCTATGCACACACCAACTTTTTTTTTATGAGGTAGAAAGTCATCTCATATCTTAGAGCTAGTGGCCCAAAGACCTCCTTTGTGGTCTTGTATTAAAACACAGGAGTAGGAGACGGAAGCCTGCATTTCACTCCTGGTTCAATTAGCAGTCTTCATGCCCAGACTCAAATCACCTCACTGCTCTGTATGACTCAAGTGCCTATGAGGCAGTAATTGCACCTGTTTTACATTGCCTCACAAGGGCACCCAAGTGAGGTAATGCATACAGAATGCTCAGAAGTACTGTACTAAACACGTCTCTCATCAGGTTATTTGCAAAACCAATAATTCGCTAAACAATCAATGAATTGCCTTACAGATATGCCCTCCTACTTTCAGTGTGGTGTTTGCCCCACCCCTATTGCTCTTTCAAAGAGAGACTGGCCCCCCTGCAGCACAAGGCTGTTGTGCACTGTACCGTCTAGTCCTGTCCTCCTCATCCCTCCATACCCACACCACAGACATAATTAGGTTGGGCACCTTCTGTAAGGCTGTCCAGTGGCTGGAATGAAAAGCTCTGCACTTGTACCCATAAGCCAGGCTGTTCTGAGTCTCACTCTTGAAACTTTACTAGGAAAATCATCAGTGACAGGACAAACAACAAAAAGGCTCAAAGAGAAGCCGTATGGTCAAGACCATGAATCCAAAGTCATGAGTAAGCCACAATCAAGCAGCAGAAGAAACCCTGCATACACTGAAGCTGAGGTAGGATGAAATGAGACGTGACCTGGGAGAGAAGATGCAGAAATGTCCAAATCAGCCAGGTCATTGCAATGGCAAAGCGTAAGTGAAGGGCATCAGTGTGAAGGGCAGTGGCCCCGGCTCCTGGGCCCCCAACTGCCCTGAATCCAGCACTGTCCCTATGAGCCCAGGTCATTCCAAGTCATTGCTGCTGGGCCCCAATGTGATCCTGACTGATTCCCTTGTGAGGCTTTACTACAAGCCCCCTTCCTCTGAACTCACTGGAGGAAACAGAGGTTCTTTCTAGGCTGCCACGAGTGTCAAACCAACTCTCGGCTCATGAGACCTGACTCCAGCTCCCTGGAGCACCCCCAAAGGACAAGCTGGTGACCATTATGTCTTGAGAGAGGAAATGAAGGTCACAGGCTCTAGTTTGCTTTTGAAATATACTGCATCGCTAATGAATTAATGCAGCTCGGGGGGGGGTCAACATCCTAGAGAAGAGAGAAGGGCAGAGGGGGCTAGAAATAGGTAAGATTATATATATTGGAGCTTTGCCCATGCTGATCCTTTCCCCCTACTCAAATTCCACCCACCCTACATGTCACCTCTTCTACCAAACCTCCCCCAACTCTTGCAATTATGTCATTACTCTGCTCTGACTCCTTTGCTACACTGCCTGCCTAGCCCCAGATTTCATGCCTTGTATCTGTACCTTCTGTCCCGTCTTGGCAGTTCTGCCAACTTAGAAAACACTTCCCCATTCTTGAACTATGCATTTGGCCATGTGACTGACTTTAGTCAATAGTGTAAGATGTGATGGTATGCCAGTTCTAAAAGCCTCTCTTCTTCCATTGCCATGAAAAAGAGTATGCCCAGGCTAGCCCACTGTTCCCAAGACGAGGATGAGACACATATGGGACAAAGCTCAGTCAAGCCCCCAGGAGAGTCTAACCTAGGTTAGTCAACCATTAGATGTCTGTATTGTTTGCCATTGAGATTTTATAGTTCTTTGATTCGTAGCTGATAACTATCAGTAGCACTTACTGTACATTTCTGTAAGTTTTAATAACACCTGCTCTAGTTCTCCCGACCCTAAAAAAGGATTTCTATTTATGTGTATGCATGTTGTGTCTATGTGTGTGAACACCACTGGTGTGGGTTTACAGGGGGCAGCAGATTCCCTGGAGCTGGAATTATAGGTGGTTGTGAACCGTCCAACATGGGTGCCAGGAAAAAAGAACCTGGGCCCTTTAGAAGAGCAGCAGGTGCTCTTAACCACTGAGCTATCTCTCCAGCTCCAGTATGTCGTGGTTTCTAAAGAAAATTATTTGGCCATGTGATTATTTCTTTGAGGAGGACCCTCCCACTTACCTCTAGAGTTAGCAAACGGGTACCCAGTTAAATTTGAATTCATTAAACTACAGGTAGTTGAGTATGAAACTGTCCTCTGCAGTTTTTAGAACATAGTTATACTAAAATTATTGATCTAAAGTTCAATTTTCCCTGAGCACCCTATATGTTCCTGGCAATCCTACTCTAATACTTGAGGCAGGAGAGAAATCTTGCATAGGAGCTGTAGCTAGGAAGTAGTTCACATAGTCACCACCATGATGTCAGGGGAGCCATGATTCAGTTCAAGACTTCCAAGCCCAAAAAAGAAAATCTTGGGGAGAGAGAGAGATGACTCAGCTAGTAAAGCACTTGTCATGCAAGGACCAGAGTTCAGATGTAGAACCCATGTAAAAGATGGTGGGCATGGCAGCCAGCCTGTAATCCCAGCATGGGCAGTGAAGACAGGGAACCCCCGGGCAAGCTGGCTAGCTAGACTAGCCAACACAGCAAGTTTTGGGTTCAACAAGAGGCCCTGCTTTGATGTACAAGGTGGACAGTGATCAAGGAAGACACCTAATATCAACTTTGGGCCTCTACACACATGTATAAACATGTGCACCCACATATGATAAAAAGGTAAATTTTGACTACTTATTTCTCCCCCTAACAAACCCATCCCTAACAGCAATAATGATGGCAGCTCTCATTAGCCTAGTGCCTTTATGGACAGGGATTGAGCTGAATACACCATCTCATTTTCACATCAGTGAAAATCACTGCAGGGAGGTGGCTTTGTCATTATCCCCATTCATAAAAGAGGGCACTGAGCATCAGCCACATACAACAGCTATCTCTTGGTCATGCCACTGGAGAAAACAACAAGGCTAGAATTCAAATGGAGCACTTTCTCCTTCCATTCATGTGATCCTTCCTCCATCTACCGAAAGTGTTTTGCTGAAATTTTTATAAAATTAAAGATGACAACATATATTTTCCAGCCTTCCGATCTCTTTGGCCCTTCTCCATCCATTCTACCCGTTGGGATACACAGTTGAGGCTGTATTAATTTCCCGGTGATGCTATAACAAGGTCCCATGGACTGGGTGGTTCAGTCAATGAGCATTTTTATACTCATAGTTCTGAAGACTAGACATTGACATCAAAGTGTCAGCAGGCTTGGTTCTCTCAGAAGGCTACGACAGGAAAATCTAAACCTGTGATAATTTTAGGTGTCAACTTGATTGGATCATAGGATGCTCAGTTATCTAGTTAGGCATTATTTATGAGTGTATCTTTGAAGGTGTCTCTGATAGATATTAACCTTTTAGTAAATGGACTAAAAAGCAGACTGTCCTTCCAGTCACTGGGCCTCATCCAATCCATCATGGGCTTGAATAGAAAAAGAGGGTTTAATTCACCTGATTACATAAGTGGATTCATGGGTCCTCTATCCTTGGGCTGGGGCTTACATCACTCTTAATTGTTCTCAGGCTTTGGGGCTCAGAATTTACAGCACCAGCTCTGGTGGGTTTTCAGCTTGCAGATAGATTGCAGAATTCTTCAACCCCCATAATTTCATAAGACAAGTCTCATGTTTTTCTGTTACCTTTTGGTTCTGCTTCTCTTGAGAACTTAATACCAGGCCTCTCTCTTGCTGTCTTCATGTCATCTTACCTCTATGCATATCAATGCTCTCTTCTAAAGACACTAGTCATATTGGATTAGGACCCACCTCCATGAACTCATTTCAACACATTTCTATAAAATGCCTATCTCCAAATAAAGTCACATTCTGAGGTACTAGGAGTTAGGACTTCACCGTGGAATGGGGCAGGGAGAGGGAACCGATTCAATCCCTAACAATGTGTGTGGAGCTAATTGTGACTCATATCAATATAATCTGCATTTAAAAGGTGAACCCAAGGGAACAGATTATAGATGGTAGGCTTCTATATATCAAGTGGTAAAATTCCAGTTTTCAAAGCAGCCCTTGGGGGTAGAAAAGTCCCAACCTTCAGTTTGTTTTTAATTTTATTACATTTATTCATTTGGGGTGGGGTGGCATGCAATCAAGGTGTAGCATGCAAGTGCATACGTGCAAGTCAGAGGACAGCTTCTAAGAGTGACTCTCTCCTTCCACCACGTAGGTTTCAGGGGTCAAACTCAGGTCATCAGCCTTGATGACAAATGCCTTTACTGGCTGAGCCCTCTTGCTGGTCCCCAACTTTCAGCTCTTAACAATGACTCCTCAAAGGTGTCACAGCCTCTACCAAGAGTGTCCTAGCAACTGGTAGAATGTGGCTATTATGAGGGCAGGGGATTGTGATGGAGCCCAGAATTTGATGAAGCCAAATGTGATGGTCTCACAAGATGTCCTCAAACCCTAGTTGGCAGCACTGTGGTTTTCTGGATGGCAACAGATGACAGAGAAGTGATGGAAGCCCGGAGAGGAGAAAGTTGCCCCACATTCTCCAAGTTGGCACCTGGTGACAACATGCCCGAAGGGAAACCAAAGGCTTCTTTGGTAAGAAGGATGCCTTCTCTCACTGTCCTAGCATTCCCTCAGCGGGGAGGAGAGCCCTCTGGGGCCACATGCCAGGAGATTCAGATAGCTGCTTGCCTAGAGAGCAGGACTGGGCCCCAACCTTGTAAGTAGTACCCAGCTGCCACTGGGAGCCAGTAACCCTTCATGGGATTATAAAGTAACATGAAGCTGAAGCTGGCTTTGTCTCACCCATCTATCTTACCATTTGAGGCCCTTTCTTCTCTGTAGGACCCTTTCACTGTCCTTCCCCTAACATCCCTCTTATTGGTTCCTCAACACAGATTTGAGACTTTCTCTTCCCTCAGAAGTCCCTAGAAGACCTGTAATCTTAATGTTAAGTAGACTGTGGGGAATGGGAAGGTGATCTCCCTGATAAGGATCACTAGCGGGGCAGATGCCCACTTCAGCTCCCAATGTCTCACTTGCAACTTTGTACTACCCCTTCATGGCAGTCTGCCTTCTTCCTAGCCCTCAGATTCTGGAGTCTGCCTAAGGGTACTCCTAGTAGGAACCCGGACTGGATACTTTTTACAGCACCCTAGTCTACTGTGGCTTAAAGCCCAGGAAGTGGTAACAGAGAACTCCACACTAACTCCCCACCATTTCCTCACTTTCTTCTCCTGTCCTAGGATTCAGAGTCCCCAGAGCTAGATTCCTCCAATCCTGAGGAGAATGAAACTTGTGAGGACAGAGGATGCCCAGGGCCCCCTAAGTCAATGTCCCCAAAAGCTGGCCCCACCACCAAGGGCCAGGCTGGTGATGGACCCAGACTGGAACCCATAGAACTGCCCCTGACCCTGGAGACAGAGCACCACAATCCGATGGGACTGGAGAAGGTGCGCATGGAGTTTGAGCTGGCACGCCTTAAGTACCTGCACCAGGAGAACGAGCGGCAGCGGCAGCATGAGGAGGTGATGGAGAAGTTGCAGCAGCAGCAGCAGGCCTCACCTCACCAGGTAGTGGGAGTGGGACTCTGAGTTAAGGGCTCATCCCTGTGGAGCCCAGCAAGACAAGACCTGCTTGGCTCCCTGCATCTTGCCTACAGGTCCCAGGTCTGGCTGAGAGGGGCTGAGCATCCATGCAACTGCCTCCAGCTCCTGGTGTCTTGGATCATTTCCCAAGATATGCTGAGACCTCTGTCTTACATGGTTGACTGTACTAGAGGCTTCTTTGTTAAGTGAGAGTCAACTCTTGAGAGTTGAGGGTAGGAGGGACCCTGAAACCACATCCTGTACCCAACATCCCTTTGGATAGTCTAAGGAAGCAGTGTCCAATACGCCTACTACAACTGGATTCCTACCACTCTCTATTCCTCTTTGCATCTCATATAATTGCTGCCTGGAGAGTAGACTTAGCAGCCCTTGCATTCTAACTACTGATGTTGAGTTTGCTCTGTTGATCACACTGCCCTATAATCAACTGAAGTAATCTTTTCACAAGAAATGCATACTTAACCACTACCGTACTGAATGGAGCCAGAATGCTCACCTGAGGGCTGGGTATGTAGTGTAGTTGGTAGAATGCTTGCCTAGCAGACACAAAATCCTGGGTTCGATCCCCAGTACCACATAAACTGGGTGTGGTGGCACACACCTGTAATCCCAGCACCTGGGGGGGGGGGGGCGGTGCAGGAAGGCCAAGAGTTCAAAGTCATCCTCAGTTACATAGCAAATCTGAGGCCACCCTAGGCTAGAGACACTGTTTTAAAAAAAAGAAAAAAAAAGAAAAGAAAAAGAAAAAACCACTTGAGATGAAGTGTCATGTGAAGTACTTAACACTATGTCCAGACAACTCTAAGCATTCAATGATGAAAGATGTTTCCTGGGCTCTAAAGTCAGAGGGTCCTCAGCTAAAATTATGGCTATACCATTTTTGTAAGATGCTTAACTTTGGACAAGTTACCAATCCCTCTTTGAGCATGGGTTTGATCATTCCTAAGGTACTACCTACCTCATAGAGTCATTGGAAACAATAAATGAGAGAATGCATTTAAGGTGCTTTGCAATGAGCCCAGCACATTAGGTAAGTGCTCCATAATTGTTAGCTATTACCATTTTTATGAACTCATGCAATTCACTTCTTGACCCAAATTCAACAACTTACATTCATCACTTCTCAGTTTTATTGGGATGTAACATATTAGCTATGCTTCCCAGCTCTGAGTCATCCTTGATTCTGAGAAGCTTGCCTTCTGTCTTTATCTAAGCCATTGCTATAATTGTTGAGAAGGATATGACCTAAAGTAAATCCCACTGCATGTTCTTGCTATAGGTTAGCAATGTTCCATTAATCAACACCATGGAGTTACATTTTATCTAGCTCACATTTCTGCAACTTGGCCAAAAAAACCAAAACCAAACAAACAAACAGATCTGAGCCCTGCCATCAAGAGGTTTCCCAGAATGAAGGTATTACATTACCCACAGCATTTGTCCAATTGACTGGCCAACTTTTTAAAGGGAAAATAGGTTTGGTTTTACCTGATTTGTTCTCGGTGAACACATGCTGGCTTCCTAATTATTTTTCCTTGCTCACAAGATACCTGCTTAATTATACATTAAATGATGTTGCTGAGCCAAGCCAAGCTTATTGAACTGGATCTTTTGAAATCTTTCTTTTTACATATCTAGAAAATATTTGCCTTTCTCTAGGAGTCCAGTACATTTTCAGAATTTTTTTTAAGATTTATTTTTATTTTATGTGTACAAGTGTTTTCCCTGTATGTATGTTTCTGCACCACATGCATGCAGGGCCCTTGGAGCTCAGAGAAGGGCTTTGGATCCCTTGGAACTGGAGTAATAGATGGTTGTGAGCTTCATGTGGGGGCTGAGAACCA